ATTTGTATATTTTTCTAGTTAACAGCCGGTCAAACCAAGTTGTTTGTTTTGCCTTTGGTGGTAAAATGCCCTGTATTGAAGCTTTTTAGTAGCCTTTGATACCCACAAATTCGTGGGAACGTTTATACAGCCTTTGGTTTTTTTGCGTTTACTACTTTTCTATAACTTTCACGTTTGTTGCCAATATTTGCTAATCTTTTTCTAAAGAGATTTCTATGCGGAATACGGCTAGAAATCGTTATATATCCTTAGCTGTATCCCTAAATTTCATCGTTAAGCCAAAACCCGGGCACTAAGATAAAACAGGTGTTGCTCCCCTGCTAATGGCACCGAGAGCGACCCAGCTCGCACATTTTAATATACTGATGTCAGCGTTCCAATGGCGCAACCTCTGTCTTTTATTACTACAAGTAAAAAACGCCCTGAGAGAAGACGTGTCTATCGCCCCAGGACATTTCAGGGGTCATAATGTTGCTCTTCGAAAAAAATTGACGCGCGCTTTCTTGTTTTTCCTGATTTTCGAGAAAAACCCTTAATTTTTAAGCCAATTTGAGAAAAAAATTGAAGGGATCTCGCTTTCATAGATGTCTCTCTCTCTCTCGCTCTCTCGCTCAGTCTCTCGCGCACTCTAGCACTCTCTCACTCTCTCCCTCTCTCTCTCTCACTTTCTCTCTCACACACACTCCCTCTGACTGCCTGTCTCTCTCTCTCTCTCTCTCTCTCTCTCTCTCTCTCCCCTCCGCTCTCGCTCTCTATCTATTGCCCTCCTCTATTTCTTTCCCTCGTTTTGTCTATTTCCCACCGTACCCCAAGATCGACAGCACTTATGCGCCCATTTGAAAACTCATGCCCGAGAGTCAAGTTTTTGTGAGTGGAAAATTTGCTTACGCGATTTTTTACGGGGAGCGAGGTGAAATTGGCGCAGCGGGGGAGGCCTAGCACCTAGCATCGCATGGTACTCACTGGCGAAAAAACGCCAGCTGGGACTGGATGCCCTTTGCAGCCCTTTTCCTCTGCCGATAGAGTGTTGCCTCTGCATTCTCCTGCTCGACATGTTCGAACACGTCAAAAAAATGTCTGGATTGGCGAAAATAGCATGGTAATAGCCTTTTAGACGTATACATCTGATTCCAAGTTTCCGATGTAAAGAAAGATCACGGAATACTGAATCGCGTGGTGTTAGTATACCGTAAATTTTATGACTAAGATTACAAGGGTTAGAAAGTTACGCGAGGCTCCTTACAACACCTTAGACTTGCACAATGGGGTTCGAAACTTCCGGTTTTTTCGACGCTTCCAGGTTCCTTTAAAAGCTCTGAACCTTCCTTTTCCTTCCCGTCATCGTGTCTTTTTGTTTACTAAGATTTTCTTTGGCACTTTTCAAAAATGATAATTTTAGAAACAGTAAGAAACTTTTTTGCAACCTCCATGACATCCCAGCCACTTTCCGAAGATGGTGAAAACAGACAGCCAAACCCGCGGAAAAGGAAATCAAAGTGAGTTTTTTCTGCCGTTCGTCAAGCAACAGCTATTTTGTGGTTGAGCAGAGGAATGCAGCGTAAATTGCCAATCATTATTTTCCTTTTAGCGAGATCGACGATGGTGATAAAGAATCGGAGGCCCCGTCCCGGGAATGTCACAGTCCGCCGGCCAGGTAGCCAATTCTTGCCATTCTTATTCTTTGACATCTTGGCGCCTTTGCAAATTCTGGCAAAGACCTGAACTTGGCTGATAAATCCAATGAGTCCTAATGTATTTCAAGAGCCTTTTTAGTTCAATTGATTTTATTTGAAGTTATTCACAAAAAATCTCTCTAATAAATTCAAATAAGTAAGTTATAATGGATAATTTATTCGGAAAACTTTAAAAACTGTTAGAAAAGCTAAAATCTATTTTTAAGCGGTTTGCATCCTATTCGCCCATAAATTCCTAGTAACTTACAAGCAAGGGAAATTTTAATCGTTTTTGCTAAAATTTCACTATATTTTGAGTAGAAAACCTATCTAGAAAATTGTTAAGCATTTTTAAAACTCCAAAATCTTGGTACCAAACTGGCATTTTGGTCAAAAAAAATCGATAAGTTCGCTATTTTAATCAAAAATTTGTAAACATTTTACGTTCTGCATTGTTAAAAACGATCTTTAAACACTTCTCGGCTTATATAAAAAATTTCATCCTATCAAGATAGTTGGTATCCCCCCTGTAATCTAAATTTATCTGGATTTTTAGTACTTTTGACCCGAACGGTTTGTCGCCTCCTTGGAGCCCTGAACCATCTCCTGAGCCGGAGGCCGAGATCGACAATGTCGAAAATGAGGAAAGCGTCGAGGACCAGGGACAGCACCTCACCTGTGCTGAAAGTACGGAAACGATCATTTGCGAAAATGAAGAAATCATCGTCGCCGGAAGTGAGCAAGTCACGATTGCGGGAAATGAAGAGGGTATTCAAGCTAATGAAGCGAGCGTCAATGCAGAAAACCAAGAAATCGTCGAGGCAGAGGGACAGCACCTCGCCCGCGCTGAAAGTGAAGGAACGGCAAATTGGGAAAGGGAGCAAGGCGTTGATGCAGAAAATGAGCAAGACCAGAATGCCGAAAACGCAAAAGCCTTCGAAGCCGAAAATAAAGAAAGTGGCGCTACTGAAAGTCAGCCGTCGCCGCGGATTTCGGAAGGATGTGGTGAGTGCTTGGTTTCCATTTTTTAGTCATATCAAGGTTTTAGTTGCGACATGCTCCGGTTTTGTGCCCGAAGGCCTTTGGAACAATAGACGAGCCAGCCGGAAGCTGGAAGGTACGAATTTATAAAAAACTAGACCTTTCGGTACTGGTGCCACTTGAGGGGGTGCAAACACTGGAGGGCACTACAAGACGCTCCAAGTTCGTTTTTCAACTCTCAGCTTTTGCAAAAACGAAGCCAAGTTTCGGCCTGAAATTAGCTTCACAGAATCGGCCCAGATCAACCAAACTAAGCTTGGCTGTAAGCTTTAAACGCTTCTTTAGCCTTCTAGAAAAATTCAAAGCTAAGATAAGCTAAGCGTCAGTTCAAACCGATGCCGCGGCTTAAGCTAAGCATAGTTAAAGCTAAGTTAAACCTAGGCTTGAGCTAAAACCAGGCAGCTGAAGCGGAGCGTCTCGTAGCTCACACCCCAGCAGAGGACTGTCCCCCCAAGGGCACAAGCTCCGACTTTCCAACGTACCCTTTCAGAAAGGATGGACATCTATACGATGGAAAGAATTCTGCGCGACATTGAAAAGGATGAAGACGATGATGCCGAAAACGATCCTACTGAATCCGACGACGATGACGTGATACCTTGGAGAAGTTGGCAAAATCCTGGGTATTAACTAGAATTTTAGCTCCGGGCGACGAAGCCGCCAATGAACGCTTGTTCGATCAACTTAAGGTGCATTTTTTTGCTCGATCTTACGCGAGTTTTTAGAATGAGCCAATTGAGGCGGAGGGCCAAGCAGAGGTGGAGAGGTTGCCTGACGGAATACTTCGCGTTTTCACTCGGAAAGACGACAACAAATTGGTACGGTATTATCGATAATTTAACCATAAAAAACCGGGTCCAGAATTGACATGAATTTAGGCAACGGAAGACAATCTTCACCGATTGCTAGAGGAATGTGTCTACAAGGATTTATCGGATCCTCAGAAGGCAGCCACCGTGTAGGTTGTCACCGTCATTTAAAGGGACTGGAGGTCCTAATTTTCTGCCTGGGATCAAAAAGAATGGTCAAAAACATCGAAGTCTACTGCTTAACGGTACGATCAAACTGATATCGCTGCGATAAAACGCTAAAATTTCAAGAAAAACCAAAGGTTTTTGGGCCCGTAGTACGCGTCTTAATGCCCACGAACTTGTGACCCACCCAAATCATCAATCCCTGTGAGATCCCGGTCAATTTGAATAATCAAAAAAAAAAACTAGAATGAATAAAGCTGTGCCTAGGCTCCAGAAATCGCACCGAAATTTGCGAATTGACATTTTATCACATCTAAACCGGACCTAACGAGAAGCGTTGCGCCCGAGTCTGGCGATTTGCCAAGGATCACTCCAAATGGGACGGACGCTCTCCTTGACCACTTGAAGCGCACCATTTCGATTTTCTAGGAACTGCATCCGAGGCGGAGGCCGATTTTTACTGTTTGACGAGGGCGGGCTCGGAAAATCGATGGTGGCGCTGGCGACCATGAGGCGAGTTACGACTATGGATTTTTTCTTTCATATCATAACGTCGAAAATAGTGTCGAAACTGTCGAAATTCATCGCGAAATTTCATAATGTCGAAATTTTTTTGCTCAGGATTGGGGGTCGGGGTTTCCGGGAAATTCTTTTATCTTTCGTCTAATGTTTCAATTTCGCCTCGATGTATTCCTAGATTATGAATTTCGACATTATGAATGTCGACATTATGATTTCAAAAATTCCATGAGAAAACAGGGGCTTTCTTTCAGCTTCTTCAGCGATGACTACCCCTTACTGATTGTCACCACGCCGCAGTCCATAGAAAAATGGAAAACTGTAGGTTTACTTTCAGAAATGAACATGATGATTGGCTTACAAGGAGCCGTTTTTTTAGTGTGAATGGAGTTTTGAGTCGAAACCAGGCCTATTTTGTGCAGAATTTTGCGCTGATTACGAATATGTTTTTCATGTTTGCTAAATAGATCGATT